AGGAAGGATGGGAGGAAGGAAGGAAGGAGGGATGCGAGGAAGGAAGGAAGGATGGGAGAAAGGAAGGAAGGAAGGAAGGAAGGATGGGAGGAAGGAAGGAAGGAAGGAAGGAAGGAAGGAAGGAAGGAAGGAAGGAAGGAAGGAAGGAGCATACGTGGAGATGAGAGGAAGTGAACTGGATACTGTACTTGGAGAGGGCTCCCCAATAGATTGCATTCTGCCAGGCAGAATACAAGGAGGGCACCGCGGTGGTCAGAGCAAAGGGGTACGAAGGCTGTTTCCCGCAGGGCTTGCTGAGACCCAAGGGCCAGGCCCAGCCCAACTCATGAGCCCAGCCGTCCGGACTCACCCGCCTTCGATTACTGTGATGGAGTCGTTGGCGTCCAGTCTCAGCCAGCCGGGCTCGTCCAGGTCCCGGGAGGCCTTCACTTCCTTCGGACGGAGCTGAGGAGACCGAGGGTGGAAGAAAAGAACGGGAGGAGTTGGACAAAGAGGAAGCGTTTTAGGGGGATTTGGGGGAAGGGGGGGCAGTGCCTAGACTTTGCAAACGGGGCGGCTCTCCCCGACCCCTCCTGGCCTTTTCCCGTTCCATCTATAAATGAACAAATGGGCTCCTTTTTGTTGGCTTTTTAAAATCTATTCTAGAGACTGTCTTTGCTTTCCGTTTTCCCAGCTGTCGGACCGCTGAAAGGAGACACGCCCAGACCTGGTGAATGTGACCCTTCTGGACTCCCAGAAAATGGCTGCGGGGGAATCTGAGGCGTCTTAGTCCCCCAAAAAGTAATTTTACCGAGAGGATGGCCCTGCCTTTATCTCCTCATGAGGAAGAGAGCATGCGTGTGAGGCGAGGAGCAGGAAGACCCTCCTGGTTTTACATGTCCTGCCAGATGAGAAGAGCTGGTGAAATCCTGAAGACCTCTCAGGAAAAGACACCCTAAAACCGCCTTCCTCAAACTGGGCACCCTTCCCTCATTTGTTGGTTTTACCACACACCCATCACCCTACCTACGGTGATGGGAGTGGTAGTCCCAGGCCTGGCCCGAAGGCGCCCGGCTTTCCCCTTCCTTCCCTCACCTCCTGCAGCAGGCCCACCATCTCCCGGAAACGGGGCCGGTCTTCGGGGTTATGGGCCCAGCATTTCAGGGCCAAGGCGTAGATCCCTCTGGGGCAATCGTCCGGGCGCTCCAGCCGTCCACCTTCCCGGTCTATCTTGAGCATAATCTGGCGAGAAAGGAAGGAGAAAGGGGTGTGTGGGGAGCGGGCCACGGCCGCCGAGAAGGGGACACGCGGACACTCAGGGCAGGACTCAAGAGTTTTGGGGTGCTGTGAAGACGGTCGGTTTATCATGCCACCCCTTTTCCATTTCCCCCCTTTTAACCGGAAGCCACAAACAGACCCATTCTCTTCCTTGGTGTTTAGGGGTACCTCCGTAAGTGTGTGAACAACATCTAAGGACCGCTGGTCCAAAGAAACGAGAAAAAGGATGGAGTGAAAGGCACCTCATGGATTTCTGTTTTGTGCCATCACGTTTCGACAAGCCGGGGATTCGGTCTCTATGCCCGTGTGCAAATACGACGCACAGAGAGATTGTTTTAAAATCACCCACACAGCCCTTCGGACAACTTGCCCTTCATCCCATGGGAAGGATGCTCGTTTGGAGTATTTTTTCACCACCCCTTTCTCCTTAAAAAGGATCCAAGGTAGCTTATACCATTAAAAACACTGAGGCTAAAAACGGTAAGTATACAAATACAGTCGTGCCCCACTTAACGATTACCCCGCATTGTGACGAATCCGCTTCATGACGATCGTTTTTGCGATCGCAAAACGATGGTCTAAATGGGGAATTTTGCTTAGTGACGATCGTTCCCTGCTTTGGGAACCAATTTTTGCTTTACGATGATCAAAAATAGCTGATCGTCGGGTTTTCAAAATGGCCACCGGGTGCTTAAAATGGCTCCCCGCTGTGCTTAGGGATGGATTCCTTGCTATACAGGCACAAAAAATGGCCGCCATATGGAGGATCTTCGCTGGACGGTGAGTTTTTAGCCCAATGGAACCCATTGAACAGTTTTCAATGCGTTTCAATGGGTTTTTTATTTTCGCTTTACGATGTTTTCACGTAACAGCGATTTTCCTGGAACGGATTATCGCCATTAAGCGAGGCACCACTGTATTTCAAAAGAATCCGAGGATAGCAAACGAAAGCAACCCTGAACCACTTGTTCAAGCAGTAAAGGCACAACATTCCATTAAAAACTGCAGGAGAGCACAGGGGTGTAGGCGGAGCCAGAGGCTGGGAGTTCGAATCCCACCCTGGGCCTCTTTGAGAGGGGCTAGACTGGATGATCTCACGGGGTCCCTTCCAGCTCTGCCCTTCTAAGGTTGTTATTCTTTTTTTTAAAACCTCTCAGGCTGGCCGTCACTGAGGGAAAGTTTATCTGAAAAGAGAGGTCTGCTTGCGGAAGGACAGCAAAAATATATTGCTTAATACATATATTACGTAAACTATATGAAAAAATACATCCTCTTCACATAGGCCATGCTAAGCATGAAGACTTAGCACCCGGAGCAGCCCACATTAACTCCGGTCATTTCTAGCTTGCAGTTAATGCCAACCAGGGAGCATCAAACAGAAGGCTTGTCTTATTGAATTCCTTCTCGTGCAAATGGTATTAGAAGAGGGAACCTGCGCGTATGTAACAGACGGCTCCACGGATGCGCTCCAGGACTAGCAGAATATCCGGCGTCATTTATGAGAGTAATTAAAATAAGAAAAACATGACGGTTCTAAATCTAAATCCTCAAGCTTTGGCCTTGCCTGGCTGCTACGAATGGTCTGGGATAACAGCTGAACCTCTCTGGTGGGCGAGAAAACCCGCGTTTTGATTGAGGCCTCAGTGAATAGAATCAAATTTCTTGAATTCAAATCCACGGGAACAAAGCCGTCTCATTTTCCCCGTGGGCTGGTTTCTTCTTTACGGGTCTGACACTGAGAGGGGATACTTTCAAGCAGTGGTTCCCAACCCTGGGTCCCCAGATGTTTCTGAACTACAACTCCCAGAAATCCTGACCAGCACAGCTGGCGGGGAAGTCTTCTGGGAGATGCAGTCCAAGAAGATCTGGGGGACCAAAGGTGGGAAACATTGCCTTAAATTAACTTTTAACAACAAGAACAACAGCAATAATAACAATGATGGCAACAATAGCAACAGCAGCAGCAGCAGCAACAACAATAACAACATCAACAACAACGACAACGACAACAACGATGACGACAATGACGACAACAACAACAACAACAACAACAACAATAATAATAATAATAGGTTCTGTGGTGAGGAACCTAAACCGCTTGAACTTTAAATACATGGCATAAAAAGACATACAGTCCTGCAGAGCCAGTTTCCGCTCTCATGAAGAGTCTTTTTTGGCACGATCTCTCCGTATTTCACAACAGGCCTGCAAAGCCAGCTCAACGGTCCGCCTGTTCATATTTTTAATTGAGCTGGGTGCGGCCAAGATTAAAGGATCTGAATTGTGGCCCGAGGCTACCGTGCCAGTTTGCAGCTGAAGGAGGCTCGATTGCTAGGTTACTTGGGCATGCTCGGCTAGCATGGGCACTGGTGCCCAGGGAGGGGCAGCGTTTCTATGGGTAAGAGCTGTGAATCACTGCAACCTCAAGAGCCTGAATATTCTCCCGATGCACTGCTTCAAAACATAGATGCTTCTCAGCTAAACAGGGCCTTCTCCAAATTTTCTCATTCTTCAACAAGAGCAAAAAACAAAACAAAACTCAAATAAACAGGCAAAAGCAGGACCTGTCACTGATACGGTAGGAATTCAGTTGGAGAAAAGGTAATATAAGCCCCCTAAACCCTGCATTATCCTCAGTTTTACAGCCCGTTCCATCGTCCTGGTCCCCACATACACAGAAGCCACCTCCTGCTTCTACTTTTCAGCCACAGGTATACAGTTCCGCAGCCACAAAATTAAAGACCTTCTTGGAAGGAAAGCGATGACAAACCTAGACAGCATCTTAAAAAGCAGAGACCTCACCTTGCCAACAAAGGTCCACACAGTCAAAACTATAGTTTTTCCTGTAGTGATGTATGGAAGTGAGAGCTGGACCATCAAGAAAGCTGACCGCCAAAGAATGGATGCTTTTGAATTGGGGTGCTGGAGGAGGCTCTTGAGAGTCCCCTGGACTGCAAGGAGAACCAACCTATCTGTTCTGAAGGAAATCAGCCCTGAGTGCTCCCTGGAAGGACAGATCCTGAAGCTGAGGCTCCAATCCTTTGGCCATGTCCTGAGAAGACTCCTTGGAAGAGGAGAAAGGGACGACAGAGGACGAGATGGCTGGACAGTGTCATCGAAGCTGCCAACGTGAATTTGACCCAACTCCGGGAGGCAGTGGAAGACAGGAGGGCCTGACGTGCTCTGGTCCATGGGGTCACGAAGAGTCGGACACGATTTAATGACTAAACAACAACCATCCAGTTCCGCCCCCCCCACTGGCTCTTACCTGACGTCCCGAGAAACCCATCCATGGCTCCTCGCAGTAGGAGAACATCTCCCAGAGGGTGACCCCAAACATCCACACATCAGAGGCGCTGGTGAACACTCCCATGCGCAAGCTTTCTGGGGCACACCTGAGGAAATGAGGAGGAACGAGAAGTTGTGAGAAAGGCAGGCTTCTTACCTGTCCTAACGCTACAGGGGACTCGGGGTTCAAACGCGGGGTTCTGCTCCTGCAAGAGCCTGGCTCAATGGGGTCACGAAGAGTCGCTTTGCAAAACCTGAGCCACTGCACAGGCACCCTGAAAATAAGCCCTCTTTCCAAACTACGGGTTGCTCCATCCACATGGGGTTCTGCTCCTGCAAGAGCCTGGCTCAGCCGATGAAAGCAAAGGGTCTTTGCAAAACCTGAGCCACTGCACAGGCACCCTGAAAATAAGCCCTCTTTCCAAACTACGGGTTGCTCCATCCAGCTAAATCTCCCTGCAGGATTTCTCCCGATCAGCTCCTGTCCAGAGCAGAAGGCGAAAGAAGAAACATGCACCCAATCTGGAGGATTACTGACTGGAGGGAACTCTGCCCATGCTCAGGAACATGGGCTTAATCTCTTGCCTCAGATCATTCCCTGGAATCCATGTTTTTTTCTGCTCTTATCATCAAAGTTATTTCAATGCTGTTTTTATCTTTATATTTTGTAAGTCGACCAGGGTAGATTCCCGAATCTAGATGGGCAGGGTAAAAATGGACCAAATAAACAAATGGGATTCAGAAACCCCTAATTTGGGTGCTCAGCAAATTCAGCCAAGCCTCTAGTCCTCATGCCTGTCGAAGGAGCTGTCCTGACTGAACACACAAAAGTAGCTTCTGCCAACGAGAAGTAAAACTTGTCTACCAGGAGGAGAGAAAGAGGGTTAGGGTGGAGTTGGTTCAAATTCCTGGACTCTGGAGGTGTGGAGAGGAGAGGACCCTTTGGGGGGGTCGAATCCTTACCAGGCGAACGGGATGCGCCGGTGGGCGGACATGATGTAGCGGTCGCTCTTGCTGGACAGCGGCCTCATGAGGCCAAAGTCTCCGATCTTGGCGTGCTCCTCGGAGGCCAGGAGGATGTTGCGCGCGGCTAAGTCCCGGTGGACAAAAAGCTTGGACTCCAGGTAAGCCATTCCTCGGGCGATCTGCAGAGCGTAACTCCAGAGCTGATGGAGCGGGAACGGCGGCCGTAGGCGGTCGTACAGAGAGCCCAGCGGGGCCAGCTCCGTCACCTGCAGGGAAGAAAGAGTTTTAAAAGACCCCTGATGTCCCAGGATGTTCTCTTGCACATGTTTTGCTGTGATGAAGGAGCCGCAGAACAGGATGGCAAGGTTGAATCCTTGCTGGCGACGCCACCGACCTCTTGCGAAATGCGCTCCCATGGGTGGCCTCCCAGAGCATCTCAGAGCCTGCCGGGGGGTGGCTTAATCTTTTTCAAATCTCCAGGTTTGCAAAGCTTATTTTAATCTGCTTAGAATTCGCCCCAGAGGAGAAATCTTGCAGGAAGACCCAGTGATCAAGCAATGCTGGGTTGTTATTAAATTGTTTGCAAGGCGTACAGTTTTCCAAATTTGTCAGCTGAGGCGGCTGAGGTCTTGCAATGGTTTTGCTTTCTCCTACCACTTGGAATAGCACAGCCTCCAGGAGTCTCAGCATCACATGCACAGGATTGCTTAGGGCTGGGCTGTTATCTGGAGTCCTGGCACGCAGGGTTTCCTTCTTCCTTTCTTCTCTGGAAGTGCTATTTTTTTCCTTCTTACTGGTCAAATCGTTCGTTCTCGGTAATCACTGGTGTTCTCATGGATGATCGGCTGTCGCTTCGTTCAGTTGTGAATGTGACAGCCATTCAGGCGAATATTCTGCCGTTCAGCTAATATTTGCTGCATTTGTCATTTCCTGACTCTTGAAACTACAAAACCTCTTGTTCCTGCCGTGGTGATTTCAAGTCTGGATTATTGGCCTCTCTTCTTCTGCACGTCATCCTCTCACCTTGGCGCAGAATCGCGCACTACGAGGAGTTCAAAACCTGCCGCGCTACTCTCCCATTTCCCAGCACGGCAGCGCATCGCACTGGTTACCCATCAGATGAAGAACCTATGATAAGGTTCTTGTTCTGACATTTAAAGCATTACGTTTTTCTTGCTCTTGCTATTTAGCGGAACTGGTGGGGCAGCCTATTCCTCCTTGGAGGACTCGATCTGCAGATTCTGGTCTCATACTAGTCCCTCGGTCCAAAGTGGCTCAATCCAGACTTCGGGTGTTTTCTCATCTGGCCCCCAAATGATGGAATTCCCTTCCGCAATACCTTCACGTGGAACCAGAGTTGGACCAATTCAAACGAAACTTAAAAACCAACTTGTTTAACCTGGAACCATAGGGGTTCACCTATGGAAATAGGCAACGACTGGGATAGAATTACTGTACAGTACTTTAATTATTATATGGTTATTATAGCTATTTTGATTGTTTATTGCCCTATTGAATTATAATTGCTTACTCTATGGTTTTTAAGCCGCAGAACAGGATGGCAAGGTTGAATCCTTGCTGGCGACGCCACCGACCTCTTGCGAAATGCGCTCCCATGGGTGGCCTCCCAGAGCATCTCAGAGCCTGCCGGGGGGTGGCTTAATCTTTTTCAAATCTCCAGATTTGCAAAGCTTATTTTAATCTGCTTAGAATTCACCCCAGAGGAGAAATCTTGCAGGAAGACCCAGTGATCAAGCAATGCTGGGTTGTTATTAAATTGTTTGCAAGGCGTACAGTTTTCCAAATTTGTCAGCTGAGGCGGCTGAGGTCTTGCAATGGTTTTGCTTTCTCCTACCACCTGGAAGAGCACAGCCTCCAGGAGTCTCAGCATCACATGCACAGGATTGCTTAGGGCTGGGCTGTTCTCCGGAGTCCTGGCATGCAGGGTTTCCTTCTTCCTTCCTTCTCCGGAAGTGCTTTTTTCCCCCTTCTTCTTCTTCTTCTTACTGGTCAAATCGTTCGTTCTCGGTAATTGTTGGTGTTCTTGTGGATTATCGGAAGTTGCTTCACTCAATTGTGAATGTGACAGCCATTCAGGCGAATATTCTGCCGTTCAGCTAATATTCGCTGCATGCGTCGCTTCCTGACTCCTGAAACTACAAAACCTCTTGTTCCTGCCGTGGTGATTTCAAGTCTGGATTATTGCAATAGCTTGTGAGCTGGTCTCTCTTCTTCTGCACGTCGTCCTCTCACCTTGGTGCAGAATCGCGCACTACGAGGAGTTCTTAACCTGCCGCGCTGCTCTCCCATTTCCCAGCACGGCAGGGCATCGCAACGGTTACCCATCAGATCAAGAACCTTGATCTGACATTTAAAGCATTACGTTTCTCTTGCCCTAGCTATTTAGCGGAACTGGTGGGGTGGCCTATTCCTCCTCAGAGGAATCGATCTGCGGATTCTGGCCCCTTACTAGTCCCTCGGACCAAAGTGGCTCAATCCAGACTTAGGCCATTTTCTCATCTGCCCCCCCCCCATGATGGAATTCCCTTCTGCAATACCTTCGCGTGGAACCAGAGTTGGACCAATTCAAATGAGACTTAAAAACCAACTTGTTCAACCTGGAACCATAGGGGTTGACCATGGAAATAGGCAACAACTAGGATAGAATAACTGTACTTTAATTATTATATTGTTATTATAGCTATTTTGATTGTTTGTTTATTGCCTTATTGAATGATAATTGCTTACTCTATTGTTTTTAACATTGTAATTATGTAATGGTTGTATCTTAACTGCTTTTGACTATTGGAATGCGCCCAACACCCAGACCAGCTCGCCTTACCATCTTGAGGGGCTGGGTCAACACAACCCCGTACAGGCGGATGAGGTTGGGGTGATGTAGGCAGCACATGGCATTGACTTCATTGAGAAAGTCGATCAGGGCTCCAGGGTCAGAGGACACATCTGAACGCAAGGTCTTCACGGCCACAGGAAGCTGGGAAAGTGGAAGATTTGGGGGAAAGAGGATAAGAAAATCTCTGCAGTCTGATTTATCATTCCCAGTTTCCCCAACGTGGCCAGCTAAATATTCCCATGGGAAGCCCCAAATCAGGACTCGGGGACAATGTGACTCTCCCATAGTATCTGGTAAGGATGGGCATGAGCAGGGAAAAAAAGGACTGTACAGTCAGGGTCCCTTTCCGTGGGATCAGTATCCACGGATTCACTTATCTACTGGCTGAAAATGCAAATTAAAAAAAAACCAAAAATAATTATTTATATGTATTTCCAGGGTGTATTTACTAGAACTGACCCCTAGAAGGAGCCAGAGACCATGTTATGTGCGGCATTCTGGACTTCTGTATTTTTCAGCATCCGAGGGAGGTCTGAGAACCCAAGAGGAAAAATCCTACTGTATTCATTTTGGGTTATTTTAGGAAACCCTATCAGGGTTTTCCAGGTACCGTCTATTTGGTAAACCCCCAAATCCCCAAATTTTCTGGGTTCTTCTGTTTCTCTTTTCCTCGTTGAGGTCACTGGACTAAGCTTTCTGGAACCCTTAGAGTTACTTCCCAAAAGCAGAGAGTCAAGGCCATCGAATATAAAAGCAGGCAAACCCAACAGCACCGGAGAAACAAAAATACCGTATTTGTCTGTGTATAAGACGCCCCGCACTTTTCTAATCCAAAATTAAGAAATCTAAGCAGGGCTTAGCAAGTGTAGGGCAAAAGGGATCGAAGCGCTGCAGGATCGCTTCGATCCCTGCTTTCCCCTCCACTCGTGTTTGTTCTCTCCTTAGGTTGCTTCCGTGTATAAGATGACCCTCAATTTTTAGTGGAAAATTTTTAGACAAAAGTGTAGTCTTATACATGGAAAATATCATCATCAGACCTAGGCAGCAGGTGGTTTACATCCTCAACATTCAGCCCTGGGCCTCAGCAGCACTGTATAAATCAAAATCATCATCAACAGCAAAGGGTGCAGATGAGAAAGAGAAGCATCCTCAGATCAGCCACCTCAGTCATTCATCTCCATTCACCAGACCCATGATCCTTTATTTTATCACATCCTCCTCCATCCTCCTCAAAGCATCATGGAATCATTCAGGCACGAGAGTGGATGCTGGAATGTCAGTGAGGTGATTTTGCATGCAAAAGTTGAACAGAGGTAAAACAATTAGGAAATCCAAAAGAAAAACCTCTTTTTCTGAATCCTAAATCATCCAAATTTTACAAGCTTTCTAACTGAATGGGGTTCATCTTTTAACCCCATTCAGGTTAACCCCAAAGTCCCCAAAATCTGGCAGATGTTCTCTGAACAGGGAGATTTTACATCTTTATTTTCTCCTATTACTCTTATTATCAAGATTTAAAGGGAGCAGGGAACAGAGATTCCCCTCTTGCTGCAGGATCAGGTCCTCTTGGCTTGTTTACAGGACAGTAGGACCCCTGGATCCGTAGGATCAGTACCCATGGTTTCTCTTATATGCAGTCTGAAAATATTAAAAATATTAAAAGAAAAAAAAAACTAGAAATACATATTTTCATGAGGTAATTACTAGAACTGGCCACTAGAGAGAGCCAGTTCTGCCAATACATGGTGAAAATTCTTTTTCTTTTACCATGTGATGTATAGCGTTTGCTATTATCCACGGTTTTCAGCATCCGAAGGGAACTTGAAACCAATCCCCCAGGGATACGGGGGTTCTCTTGTATCGTGTAGTGGTAAGAGAGATGTTGTTGTTATATGTCACCTCTCCATTTCACAATGAAAGCCTCTGATGACCTCCAGCCGGTCCCTAACTTGGCTGAAGCTACCTGACAGGGTTGGCGTGCAGATCAAAGGCCTTAAGCCCATTGGATGGATCAAGCCAATAAAGAATGAAATGTTCTAGCAGCAGCAGCGAATCACAAAAATGTGATTTGCTTGAAGGGCTGAGCCACCGCCAGAAAAAAGGGCTCCGTCAGATAAAACTCCCAGGATCCCCTCTCTGGCCCAGCAGATTTGGGGCTTCTGGGTGTTGTAGTCCACAAAACAAGATTTTCAGGCCCTGATGCACACCTCCCTCAATATTCGGCAACAGAGTGTCCCATCCCAAAGAGGAAACTTACGACTCCGCCACCCGGCGTGCTCCAGTCCGCGCGGTGGACGACCCCAAAGCAGCCGTCCCCCAGGCGTTCCCGAAGCCGTAGGTCCCACTCGCTGATCAGGCATTTGAGGGAGACGTCGGCGTCCCCACGGGGGCTGGAGGAGAGCTGCCGGTTGGGGGGTTCTTCATTTTCTGGACTTCGCCCCCCAGTGAACATCTTCAAGGGGACAAGAAAGAAATAAGAGGTCATCAAGTTTCATACGTTTTATTTTCCAGAAGGAAATACAGTACCTAGAATCCGCAGGGATGCCCCCCAAAAGTACGTTTCACTCAACGTTGCTTCCAACCCGGCTTCTGGACATGGCGTAACACCACTTTCCCCCCAACCTGGCACCCTCCCGATGCGTCAGACGACAACCACCATTCTCCTGTTGACTGATGGAAGTGTTGACGTTACAGATTTTGTGTGTGCTAGGTTATCCGCGAAATGTTGGTGCCATCCCTATATCGTAGCCACTTGGATCCCAGCGTTCTGTCTGTCTATACCCTGAATGCCCATCTTGTCGTGGGCCAGTTATTTGCTGGATCAGATCAATCCATTCAATACCATCTGAAACCAGCCAAAAATGCCATTTAAGCTCCTGGGTGCCACCCAGTGGCGGCTGAAAGGATTACACTTCCTGTCTGCCATCTTATTTCCCAGCCCATCACTTGTGAACCACTAGAAATGGATTTCAACCGTCAACCCAAAACATGTATAAGCAGAGCTTGGGAGTCTTTGGGGCAGGGGGACTACAACACCCAGAATCTCGAATTCTGGGAGTTGTACTTCAAAGAGAGCAAAGTACCCAAGCTCTGCCTGTAAGTGACCCACCTTATAGACCCACGACATGGGACGTTGGCCTTGAGCCTTCCTGCGTTTCAAGGCCTCTTCTAACCGTCTCTGTCCTACGGGAAAGAATGCCCAATGGTTAGAGACAAAGTAGACCAAACTTCTCTTAGTAGAATTAATTAAGCAAGGGTGTGTGTACCGGCTTATTTGACTTAATTGAGAATTGCTTCCGGGGACTTTAATCAACCCTAGAAACGTTTAGTGTGTGCAGGTGCGTGGGAACAAAGGCAGGCCGCTCTTGCTGGCTATTAGTATTTCAGAGAGAGGAATTGGCCAAGTCCTCTCTTGATGCCAGCCGCAAGCAGCCCCTCCTCTCCTTTCGGCATCCCTACCTGCTTTAAGCCCACCCGCCCTCCCGCGTGCCCTCTGACTACCTGGGCGCCCCATCCCGATCCGGTCAAGATCTGAAGGCTTGACGTAATCAAAGTGGCCCGGGCGCGTGACGTGAAGTTCATCCCGGATCTTGGTGTAAAACTGCTGCAGCTGAATTTCGGTGAGAAGCTGGAGTAGCCAATCTGTGCCATCATCGGGCGCCATTCGGGCATCTGCCGGGGCAGAGAATTGGGGTGGTCAGGGGAGAAGATGGGGTGCATAAATGCCAGAAACCTTCTATCAATGTCAAATGAGCAAACAACATTCCACCCTGAAGACCACCACCACCACCACCCCAGCCACCAAATTCAGTGGTCACCTGCCACCCTTGCCCAGCTGTCTGCTGGTTGCAAACCATGGGCTACACACATAGGTTGAGCGACTGGAGAGTCAGAAGAGGCTGGTTGGGTTTATCCCTCAACTACAAATACAGTGGTGCCTCCCTAGACAGTTACCCTGCATGACAGTTTTTTTTTGCTAGACATTGACTTTTTGTGATCGCTATAGCGATTCGCAAAACAGTGATTTCTATGGAGGAATTTTGCTGAACAATGTTTGATCCCTGCTTCGCAAACCGATTTTTGCTAGACGATGATTTGCTTTTCGCTAGACAGCGATTTCAGTGGAACGGATTATCATCATCTAGTGATGCACCACTGTAGTTAAAAATCACACCTGCTGAATGAAATAAAATATTTCCGACATGCTCTTTTGGAATTTCCTGCCACTTTTAAGAGTCTCCGTTTGGACGAGGGAGAAGGAAAGCGGCTTTCTCGTCGTATTCTTGCTGTGAGCTGCTATTGCAACCCGCAGAAGACCAATATCCAAATTTCCGCCTCGCTACATTCTGTCTAAGTCTAAACTTTGCTTTGTTTTTTGCTGACTCACTACCCCCCCCTTTACTTGTGAAAGCGAGATCCATTTGTAGGTGGGGAGAGCAGAAAAGTGAAGATGTTCCATCGCTAGAGGAGAGTGATCCAGCACAACCCGTTTTGGTGGAGAAAGGACCTGGGTGAGCCAGAAGAGATGAGGAAAAGGCTGCCCAGATGTCTGAGAGGCAGGGAACCAGGGTCCTTTTTAGAACCACCAAGAGCCGGGTGCCGGCTTAAAGATTGCCAATTTTGGCTTGAAATTCCATGCCACTTTTTTTTAAAAAAAATCTGAATTTTGTTTATGATAAAACATTGTCAGGTGTGGTTCAATATGTTGTGGGATGCAGAATGTGGCCCACCGCAGGCAAAATCCTTGGTCTAGTAAATCCCATTTCATCCCTGGACTAGATTAATCTATGATTGCCAGTCTCGGTGGTGCTAGAAGACTCCTGGTGGATCCCAGTCACGCCCACCCCCGAGCGCTGCTGGGGACGAGCCCTTGAGAAGGAACGTGTCTCCAGAGAGGACTCCTGGGTTCCTTGCAGAGAGAGGGAGGAATCAAAGCAAGATCCATCTGAGGAGAAGGCCTGTTCCTACACGCTTCCTGACTCTCCCGTTCGGGCCAGACAGTCTGTCTCAACAGCAGGCAGGCTGCCTGGAGGGCCAGGCAGGGTGTGTGTGTGTGTGTGTGTGTGTGTGTCTGTGTCTGTGTGTGTAGTGAGTGAGGAATCAGCCGGAGTCAGATGATGTCCCCATGCCTTGCTCCTGGAGGGCTCTGGTCTGGCCACAGTGACACATACTTTTGTTACTGGCTAGATTATTGCAACATGCTGTATGTGGGGCTGCCGATGGAAAGTTCTGGGATACGTGGACGGGTCTAAAATGCAGCAAAATCAATTCTGAAGGAAATCAACCCTAAGCGCTCACTGGAAGGACAGATTCTGAAGCTGAGGCTCCAATCCTTTGGCCATCTCATGAGAAGAGAAGACTCCCTGGAAAAGACTCTGATGTTGGGAAAGTGTGAAGGCAAGAGGAGAAGGGGACGACAGAGGACAAGATGGCTGGACAGGGTCACTGAAGCGACCAAAATGAATTTGACCCAACTCCAGGAGGCAGTGGAAGACAGGAGGGCCTGGCCTGTTCTGGTCCGTGGGGTCATGAAGAGTCGGACATGACTAAACGACTGAACAACAACAAAAAATGCAGCAGTCTGATGGCTGACGGGTTGGTCAAAGAGATCACAGAAGGCCCTCCTGTTCCAGCAGCTCCGTAGGCTGACAATCTGTTTCTGGGCACCGTTCAAAGTGCTGGTTTTAACCTACCATGCCCCATGGGTTAGCCTTATGGGTCCAAGCAGTCTCAGGGACCATACCTCCCTTTATAGGTCTGCTCAGGTGTTAAGCTCATCAGGAGAGGCCTTTCTCTCCATCCCATCCTCCTCGCAGGTACTGCTGAGGGCTTTCTCTGTGGCTGCTTCTTTAGACTCTGGAAATCCCTCCCACTAGAGACCAGCCTGGCCCCATCTTGGCTCTCCGTCCACAAGCCAAAGACCTTTATCTTCAGACAGGCTTTTCCCTAATAGCTGGCTGTCTAGGGGACAATAAACAGGATGCTTTATAATTTGTTACTTCTAAATCTGTTTTTTGCAATACGTTTATCTAGATTAGGCATCCTTCAGTCTCGAGGGACTATGGTAACATGCTCTGAATGGAGGACTTGGAACGGTGTCTAGGGTGGCTGAGAAGGCCAATTCGAGAGTGACAATCCCTTCCACACTGAGGACAAATCCAATCTGTCCCCCCTGTCCAGCTCCCTGATTTTGCTGCTTTCGAGACTTCCTTTTTGCCTCGGCCTGCTGGACAAGGATCTCTTCGAATTGGGAGATGCCGTGATGCACCGCCCGCCTCCTGAACGCTCAGAGGTCAGGGTTTCCCATCTATTGAGGTCCATTTCTAAGGCCTTCAGATCCCGCTGGCAGATCTCCTTGTATCGCAGCTGTGGTCTCCCTCTGGGGCAATTTCCCTGCACTAATTCTCCATACAGGAAATCCTTGGGAATCCGACCGTCGGCTATTCTCACGACTTTTACCTAACATTTGTTCTACCTAACAAATGTTCTTCTTTATTCTTTGGACTTGGATAATTTCTGTTTCACCAGTCCACTCTTTCCCTCTTCCTTTCTGTCTTTCTTTGGGGTTTTATTTATTCATTTTGCAACAAGGAAATTGTGATAATTGTAACATGCTCGCTCTTGGATACAATCGCCTACCAAAATTGAATTATACTAGGAATGTGTTGCTGTCTCAAACCCTAATTTACAACATTGTAGCGCTTCGGTTATTTACTTCTGTGTTTATTTTGTAATGCACTGATGTCGCAGAACTAGGATGGAAGATGAGTTGCAGTGTAGTTTTTAAAAGTACAATAAGCCTACAAACATTAAAATAGAATTTAATTACTGTATTCATATTATTAAAATACAAGTAAAATGTCAACAGGTTAAAATCTCCTTAAACATATCTTTATATGGTCCTTGCGTTGTATGCTACTTTTTCTCTTTTTTTTTGTTTAGACCAGCATTTTAATCTATAAACCTGTTTCTTTCTTTTTTCATATAAGAGCTTTGCACAGATTAAAATTATGGACGGATATGAAATAGAGGTAAAATGAAAAACCAATTTAAAAATACAACAAATGTTACTGTCAGCAAAGGACAGAAGGGACCCCCTCACCACTGCAGGAGTATACCGGATACCTTGCAGTTGTGGCCAGGTATATATTGGGACCACAAAACGAAGCATCCACATCAGAATCAAAGAACATGAGAGACACTGCAGATAAAACAACCAGGAAAATCTGCAGTAGCTGAACATGCCCTGAAATGAACTGGACATGAAATTCTATTTCAAAATACAGAAGTACTGGACAACACCAGCAATCATTATGTTAGACTGCACAGGGAAGCCATTGAAATCCACAAACACCAGCAGAGCTTCAACAAAAAAGAAGAAAGTCTAAAACTCAACAAAGCCTTGCTCCCAGAAACCGAAAAATAGAGCCTGCAAAAGGTCAACGAACTCTACCCATCCACAAGGGCTGGTGATCACTGCACACAAAAGACCAGCTAGCGACACCCATCAATCACAGTGACAGATTATATCTCCCCCGTATCACAATACATCCACACACAAAAACAAGCTGATCACCATCATCATCCTATCTCCTGAAAAAGACAAAAGCTGATCCCACAGCTATAAATACTCAACTATCCAAACAAACTGCACCAGAGCACGGATGGAGTTCCTACTCCAGTCCTCTGAAGATGCTGGCCACAGAGACTGGAGAAACGTTAGGAAGAACAACCTCCAGAACATGCCCAAAGAGCCCGGAAAACCCACAACAACCAATTAAAATGTTATTAGACTATCATCAGACTATTTTCAACCAGAAGCAGGCTACAGTACTTCCATTGAATTATCTCGCCCGTTTGCCAGGACTATTTTCAACCAGAAGCAGGCTACTTCCATTGTATTATCTCGGCCGTTTGCCAGTTCTTTTGTACACGTGGTGGGGCATAAACTGCATGCACGTAAGCGCTGTATATGTGGTGGGGCATAAACTGCATGCATGTAAGCGCTCATGGACTGAATTTCTCCACAGTCACACCGAACACATGGATTGAATTTCTCCACAGTCATAGAAGCCTTGCGCTATAAATCTGCTGAGAACGGAGCATGATCCAGGATAATCACAGCAGGAGAGACGCAATGAAAGCAGTAACCATTAAATGCTTCTGTCTGTGGCCGTTACGCTCCTCGAGTCAGTTTCCCGGTGCTTCTGCCCTTAATGGGATTCTTCTCCCTTCCTCTTACCACCCCTCCCCAGCCACCCCCAGCAGGAGATCTGTTTATCCCACTTTGTTCCGGGGCCAAGCACCCTCCTTGGGGCCCAGCCCTGTGGCACAGTGGCAGCAAAGTTCAAACCAAGAGCAAATATTGACAGGATGCGGAGGGTAAAATCAACGCAGGCCGGCTTCCTCTGTTTGGCAGAGGCTAGAGTCTTCCTCTATGTTTTATTAAAGGGCAGACGGAAGGGATGGGCATGGCACATGAACAGAAATGCACGCTTTCCCAAAGATGCATCTCAAGATGTGGTTTGTGGGCATGGCCACTGTTACCGAGTTTTGAATTTTTGGTGAAATCCCTCTAGCTGTGCAGCAGACATGGAGGGATTCACAGAGGAGAACAGCTACAAGTTCCACCAGATTAGTCCACCTCATTTATTGACTGGCTGATTGATATTTAAATATTTCCATCCCCTGCTGTATTAAAGATCTCAGGCCAGGGTAGAGATAACGAAACATGTATTCTCAAAGGCTTTCATGGCCAGGATCCGATGGTGGTTGTAGGGTGTGTGTTTTTTCACGGCCAGGATCTGATGGTGGTTGTAGGGTGTGTTTTTTGGGGGGGGCAGTTTAGCCGTGTTCTGGAAACAAAACCCTGTAAAAACCTTCTGATGATAGAGAGGGCTAAACCTTTGCTTTGCACACAGCCTGCAAAACCATCTTCCTTTGCTTGGCGTCTGCCTTCAAGAATCATGGGGGTGGGGCGGGGGGTTTTGGACTACAAACCCCAGAATCCCCAAGCCAGCATTCTGGGAGTTATAGTAAAAAAAAAAAAGGCGGGGGATATTCTAATGCAGAGTTTTAAACAGTGCATGCTGTATTTTAATGTCTTTAAGGACAGGACAGGTTGTCAGACACCTGCTTCCGACAGGATCCGCCCGTCTTACAAGAACGTCCCAATGAGGACGGCTGAGGATGCTTAACCCTGAAAAAAGGCCTCGAGGGAGAAGACGAGAAACTGGGTCTTCTCGACAGTGGCTCCTTGCCTGTTGAATGAAACCACCACCCCCCCTCATTCATTTGGCCCCTTCGCAGGCGGTTTTTAAAAAGTCCTTTTAAAATCCTGGTTCTTTTAAGAAGGCACTCCGAAACGTTATCCCTGCAATTTAACCGGAGCTCATTCGGCCTCCCCGACCAAGTCCGCCCTTTAAAATGTGTTAAATAAATGCTCTAAATGTTTCTGTGCCAATATTTTTTTTTCCATGTTCTGAATGCACTGTTTATTGGCATTCGTCTTATTTTTATTTTCTCCTCTCTCTTGAATTGTTGTTGGAATGATGTCGTTTATGTATGTTGCAAACTGGCCAGGTGGGCAGCATAAAAATGAAATGAAATAAATAAATACCGTGACAATCAGGGCAGTAAATTTCATCACACCCAGCATTTCACCAAAGAAAAACAGGTTCTATTCCTCCCACCTTTTGTAGGGCTCATCATCTCCTGGGCCGCCTCCTCCTTCCTTTTACTTGCTAATCGCCCCTATTGCTTACCTGATGTGCTAGAAGAGCGCAAATATAGCGTGGGGCATTCATTGAATTCTGCAGGAACCCTTTAAAAAACACTGCCGTGTCTGCTGCTTTAGCTGAACACTTCTGCTAGCCTAAGGAGGGGGGGAACCCCACATAATGGCCCCATAGTTCACTCTCAGCAGTTCAGAATGAGTTTCATCCACCTTTAAAAGGGGCAAGCAGGGAAACACCTGGCCATTTAATCACCACCAGCATCATCCTCTTAGAACTGCAGGGCAGGAAGGGACCTTATGGATGATCATCGAGTCCAGAACCTGTATGTGCCTTAATAATAATAATGTCCTGTTTAATCAAAACAGTATACAAAGCATGCGGTGACCTACACCCAGGTTGCAAACAGCTTCATCAGTGATTTCATTCATATCGTGCTTGTTTCGCAAACTTGTTAAGAAACATGTGGCACGTTTTGAGCTGCAGAAGAGATTCCTGATCATGTTGCAGCTTCTTAACAGAAAAATCTCTCCGGTGCATTATTTTGACATGGGCACTATGCACAAGGTGCCTCGGCTTTGCGATGCACCGCCTTTCCAGAGCCATTTCCCCATCCTGGCACCCTCAGAGGAGTCCCACTACAACTCCCATCAGCCCCCAGTGCACATCATCCAATGAAGCTCAAGACAGACAGACAGAAATGCTTCTCTAGCTGGTGCACAGATGGCGGAACTCACGGCCACATGACGCAGTGGCAACGGCCATTGTAGGCAGCTTTAAAAGAGGATTACCCAAATGAGCACAAGGGGAAGTGAATGTTCCGTCAGTTTGTTGCAAATGTTTTCTCACGGTTGTTTTCTTGTGTTCTCAATTATAGCGTTTATGCTCCTTAAAAAAGAATATTTGGGAAGCCATTTACAGTAGCACCTTTTTTTAAAAAAAGAAATGAGTACAATTCATTTATTTATTCAACGCGCAATCCGTGACTACCAAGCAGGGATAACTGTACATCTGTTCCCGTTAACAAAGATCATCTGCCTCTAACTACCCCTGGCTGGGGAGATGGAATATGTAGTCACACCCATACTTGGGGGGGGGCATTTCCCAGGGGCAATCAATGAGATAGCGTAAGAGTAGGGATACTGGATTAACCCCCCCCCTTTTGCCTGATACAACTTCTTAACCTTGCATGTAAGCCCAGCTTCCTAGTTTTTTAAATCGGCAACACAGTATGCTACACTGCAGAGAGAGGTGTGCAAAGGTTCATTTTGAGTCTCCTGTCCAATCCAACCATGCATTCCATACCATGTGACCTCCCTGGGTCCTTTTCCCAGGCTTCATTCCCCCTCCCTCCCCCCATGGCACTCCATGCGCCACATCTGCGCATACATATATACATAATACTCCCTTACACTTTTGGTATTTCATTTTCCCTAGACCAAACCTTGGAAAATTAGAGAGAGAGAGAGAGAGAGAGAGAGAGAGTGTGTGTGTGTGTGTGTGTGTGTGTGTGTGTGTGTGTGTGTGTGTGTGTGTGTGTGTTTAGAGTTGGACTACAAATCCCAGAATCCCTTACCTAGGGATTTTGGGAGCTGTAGCCCAAAAAATAAAAACTTTTCCAAAGTGTGCTCTTAATTCCCACCTAACTCCCCAGCTAGTTGTGACAGCGACGGATATATAAGACGACGAATCAGAGCAGGCCCAGTTACAAAATTCACATCCGCTTTGAGCATGTACAGAGTGCTTTCCCTCCCCACATCAAAAAACTCCAAACAGACCTTAAAACCGACGGGAATATTGGGATTTTGTTTGGAGACATTATGTCTCAGAAGTCGTACGTCCCTCCTCCAAACCTCTTTTTAAAAATAAATAAATCAGAAATCCTGCCAACTTCTGCTTTTATCTGGCTTTTGGGACTATTTTATCGACTGCACTTATTTTGCTACTATGTATATTTTCCGGGATGTCAACTGTGTTTTGTTTATTTTGTAAGTTACCTTTAGTTAGAAGGTGGGATTCACACATCTTAAATAAATAAATATAAAACTTTTTAAAACTCTGGCACACTCTTGGTGTGACCTAAAAGACAGCTAGGGAGCTGGGTTCGAAACACCACGTCTGCCTCTCAACCTCAGTACCCTCTATATAAGGGGAACATCTGATAAACCCACCAAAGAATTTCTTCCAGAAAACAAAAACGGTTATAGGAAAGAAAGAAAAAAGGATGTCAAATATAAATATTGGAAACAAGGAACGAAAGCAAACAAGGTCCATTTTCATTTATAAAGGCATGTTATTCATGGCTCCGGTTGCTTGTGTGCGCTGGAGAAATTAATTTAAAACTTGAAAGGGATTTGGTGACCTGCAGCTAAGGCATGAATCCAGTGCTGAATAATCCAGGAAAATGCCCGGAAGTCTCAGCCAGACCCTCTCTTTTTGCAAGAGGCCTAGACATTATTTTTCCCCATTAACTACTCCTTGGGAGTAGGTAGGTGGGGCTCGTCAGCCATGGAAGGCAGCCCATCTAGGAGAAGGAAAACTCTGATTCCAAACCTCCACTGCCTTGTGGCTATATCCACTCATGGAAAAGGCTTCAGGAGTTAACCTCGAGGCAAAATCCGGAGCTAGAGTCCCGAAGGCAGCTCGTATCCTTCTGCCAACTCCTGTGACATTGCTGGAACCAGTTGTATTGGCTCTTGCCTTTCCATTGGACCCTTTCAGCAATGTGGAGAGGGGGGATCTGCTGCTTGGGTAACAGCCTATCCTCCATATTACTCTACCCAGGCTTCATGCTCTGGAGCGGACACTCCTCGATTCCGAGCATGTTACCATAGTCTCTTGAGACTGAAGGATGCCTATATATATACTCCTTGGGAGGTGAGTTATGGGGTAATCAGAAGTTACTAGAGAGGGGAATGTCCTGTATGAATAAAAGGAGAGTTTGAGAAAGTTCTTTTTTGGGATCACAAACCCCATAATCCACAGCCACCCATGTGTGCATTTCCAGCCTTTTGACTGATAATAATTCTACCTGGAGCCCACCAAACTTCCGTGGTTGAGTGGGGATTTGAACTCAGTTCTCCTTAGTCCTTATCTGAAACTCAAGTTTTTTTACTTTCGAAGCAGCTTTGGAGACATGAATGTTGGTTAAATTCCTCTCTAGCCGAACAGCAGAAGTTCATTTTTTGGGGAGGACAACTCCCACAATCCACCGTTAACCATTCAGGCACGGCTGGGGAAGATGGGATTTGGGCTCCTAAAATAAAACCATCTCCAGCCTGTCCTGACAGGTAGCCATACCTGGAAAGAAGTTTGAATAAATCTGGAGGTAAAGGAAGGCAATTGGAAGTGGAAAAAGGGAGGGAGGGAGGGAGGGGGCAGTTCAGAGGCAGAGAAATGAGATCGCTGGGTGAGGAGGGAGGGAGGGAGGGAGGGGGCAGTTCCGAGGCAGAGAAATGAGATCGCTGGGTGAATTGTTGACCCAGCAAACCTATGAAAGGTGAACCCAGCAATCTGAACAAGAGAAAGCAAGTAAAACCGGAGCAGAAGGTGTCGATCCGGAGATAGGCAAGAACTGGTGACAAGGGAGGAGGGAGCAGCAGGAAACCAGAATGGAAGAAGGAGACTGATAAAAGTTTGGGGGTGGGGATGGAGAGAGAAAATGAACAGGTAAAAGAGATAAGAAAAAAAAATAAAGGCAGAACCTGGGAGGACAACTATTCCCCAAATCCCCCACCCGGCAGGCAGGGGAATTCTGGGAGATTTTATCCACAGACGTCCCTTCTCCAAACCTTCAGAAGGGGCATCGGGGAAGCAGGAGGGAAAAGGGCTTTCCTCTTCAAGCAAGGTGGTTATTATGGGATGCCTGTCCAATAACTGCCCCACATCCCGTCCTTGCTTTGGCACTCACCTGTCTGAAGGAATTTGTGCCGCGATCCGCTTCTCCCTCTCTCGTAAAATCTTTTCCTTTTCCTTTCTTTCTTTCTTTCTTTCTTTCTTTCTTTCTTTCTTTCTTTCTTTCTTTCCACCAATTTCCTTCCCAGGTGAGCAGCCACAGGCCCCACCCCTTGCCTCCCGACAGCTCACCTGGGCGGGCCAGGTAGGAAGGCGGTCAGAAGAGGGAGGGAGAGGGAGGCCAGGAGGGCCGGCTTCCTTCCCTGGGCGGTCCTACGAATCCCCAAGGCCCAGAGATTTGGGGGTGGGGGGTTGCCAGACAAGGGGCTGAGCTATGGGGCCCATCCCCCCCCCAGGTCACTCCTTTCTCTCCTCACCTGGGCAAGATGTCCTGGTGGAGGCAGCCAGGTGAGGGCCCAGCAGGCAAAAGCAAGTCCCAAGTCTTAAAACACTTTAAAGACCAACAAGAACAGAGCTTTTTCTGGCCTGCTGCACACCTCACACCTCTGGAAAAGTGGGCTGAAAGGATGCCAAATACAATTTCTAACTCTTTACGGTGCCACGAGACTCAGGGCTGTTGGGGGCACTCGTGAAGCGTCTCCTGGCATGTGGGGTTCAGCCATCTCAGCCAGCTGCTGTGTCTCTAGTGCTCTTTTTTGCAACAAGAGAAGAAGAAAAATCTCTGTACATGCTCAACAGCCACTGTCTATATCTCAGTGAGGCCCTCTGGGACTGAGGGGAAGCCATAAGACTCCAGAAGAAAATGCTCTGGACAGGATGATGATGAAGAAGATGAAGAAGATGAAGATGAAGACGAAGAAGACGAAGAAGAACAAGAACAAGAACAAGAACAAGAACAAGAACAAGAACAAGAAGAAGCCTTCTCCTTCTCCTTCTCCAGAAATTTCATCTCCCCCACCATCTCCAGAGGAGAAAAAGTGCAGAACTGAGAAAACTCTGGAATGCAAAATGCGATTCAGGAAAGTTTCACCCAATCACATAGAGGGGAATTTCCATTATCTGAGCAAAGGAATTTCGATTTTAAATAAATAAATGTAGGCTTGAATGGTGTGACTTTGGGGTAAATAATATCTAAGTGTTGGAGCTTAGATATCAGGATTAGCGTCCCAGACTGTGGAACTCCCTGCCACTGGAGGTCAGTCTGGACCTGTCTTTTTTTGTCCTTCCACAAGCCAGCCAAGACTTTTCCCTTCAGGCAGGCTTTCCCTCAGCAATGGGATGACTCAAGAGCCAATGAGCAGGATGGTTTGTATTTGGTGGCTTCTAAATCTGTTTCTCGTAATGCTTTTACCAAAATATAGGTAAATATATTAATTCTTCTTTAATATTTGGACAATTTGCTGCTTTTAGCTTTTGATGGTGTGTTTTTAAAGAATGTAAGGCCCCTTGGGTTTTTTTTTTTTAAGGAGAAAGACGCAGTCAAAACGTCTTAAATAAATAAAAGAGAAAGACCCGAGTTCAAATCCCCCACTTTGACCTGAAAAAATCTTGGGCCACTCCCGGGGTCCCAGGGTGACCCAACCTCACAGGGTCGTTAGGAGGAGAACAGGAGGAGGAAAAGAAGCACATGCCCCCCCACCCTTTTGAGCTTGTTTGGAGGAAAAGTGGGTGTAAAGGTTCTAAACAAATATTCGGAATTAATTGTGAAGGAGGTTGGTGGGGTGGGGGAATCAGGCTGTAGGATAAACAGTGCAGGTGGGCTGTGCCATAAGGCTTGCAAAGCTGCCTCGATGCAAGGGGGTGGGAGTAGGGGGGACAGGAGAAGGAAGGCTCGGGGCCCATGTGGTTCTTCGAGGGTGTCCCGTCTTTCCTCCTTTTGAGGTTCTTTCCCTGGAAGAATGGCTCCCACCCTCTTCCAGGCTGAACCATCGAGGGCCACCTTTCAACCATACTTCAAAAAACACCACCGGTCCCCGACACAATGCAACGCACCCACACCGAGCAGGAACCCTCCCACCTCCACTTGTGTAACCAGCCCGATGGCCCAAGAAAAGCTTTGACTGCAGATTAAAAAATTGCACTCCCCTTAATTAAAACCAGCCCCGGGTGCTTTGGCTTATTCCCCTCGAGGCTCGGATCACCCTGGCATTTTCTCACCAAAGCCTGCCCCTCCGTATTCGCTTTGAAAAGGACCTTCTTCACCCCAGGACAGCCCCATCCCATAATATGTCTGCCCTCTGCCGGAGTATTGGTGCTTTTGGCCCACAAAGCGTCTGCTAAATCTGTTTGTCCGGGTGATGCTTCAGTCAAGACCCTTTGCTTCTTCTGCTGGGGTCCTCTCAATCTATGGCTCCCCCCCCGCAGGGTCGTTGTGAAAATAAAAAATAATAAAATGGAGAGCAGGAGCGCTATTTCTGCCGCCTTGAGCTCAGGGAAGGATGCATGTGTGGTTTAATAATCCATGTAGCTAATACCAGTGGTGCCTCGCTTAACGATTGCCTTGTTTAGCGATGAATTCGCATAACGATGTGTTTTTTTTAGAAAATAATATGCCCCGTATAACGATGTTTCCTATGGGCGATTTTCGCTTAGCGAAGTTTGGGACCATGCTTCGCATAACGAATGCGATTTTAGGGCCCCTGCTTCACTTAACGATGTTTCTTTTTTCATTTAAAAAGGTGTCTTAGAAGGGTCAAAAATGGTTCTAAATGCTTGGAACCATTTTTGACCCTTTTATGACACACTTAATTTTGCAAAAATTGACTTCGCAAAGCCATTGGAATGTATTGAGTCAGCTACAATACATTCCAATGGAGGAAACATTGTATCGTATAACGATGTTTCCTATGGGTTTTTTCGCTTAAGGACGGCAATCCGTGCCTATTGGAACGGATTAACCGGTTTCCAATGCATTCCTATGGAAAATGGTGTTTCGCATAACTATGTTTCGCATAACTTTTTTTTGGAACCAATTAAAATCGTTATGCGAGGCACCACTGGTAAATATAGAATAGATCATTAACGGTTGTCCGAGAGGCCCCGGGCTCTGTTAGCCACTGCAGAATCATCACACTCCACACCCACTGGAGAATAAGTCAGAAAAGGGAAGCTTTTTGGAAGAACAAGGAATATGGGGCGTAGGATTATGGCAAGACTCATGGGGGGAGGGGAGAGATGCACACTTTCCGTGCAAAGTGTAGGGGAAACCAACTGGTCTCCAGAGAACTCAACCTACAAAGTTGGGGTTCTTCTCTGAGCAAACAGAGCAATCTATGGGTTGAGGGTTCCCAAGGCTAAATCTTATGGGGGGGGGAACCCCCTTGCACATATTCATGAATTCATTTATTCAACTTCCATACCACTCATTTGGCTATTCAAGCCCCCCCCCAAATATGCATTGGCTACTTAATCCACGTGGTCCTGTACATCAGGGGTCGTCAACCCCTGGTCTGCAGCCCCGTGTCAGTCTGCGGGCTTGCTGGAACTGGGCCGCGGGTATGGATCTCCACCCCCGACCCGCACGCACGGGTGCATGTATCATGATCGCGGGGAGGGGGGATGTCACACTCGTGGGGGTGGTCCCTCCCCCCCTGCGCTTGGAGCTTGCTCCGCCTAGCCAGTCCACGACCCCAAAAAGGTTGGGGACCGCTGCTGTACATTATGTTTTACTCTTTTACTTATTCTACACACACACACGGCTTGCTTGTTCACAAAGGTGCATCAGCATCTTCTGGACCTTTCCTTTATTTTATATTTGCCCGCCGCCCACCTGCTTCCACAATGGGGGGTCCTTCGCTGACCATCCCGCTCGAGGTCTCCTGAACCTCCCCCTGCTTGCGTTGGGCCGATGCTGCGCTCTCCCTCGCATTCTTACACCTTCTCAAAGGAAGAGACCAACCATCTTGGGGCACATTCCTCGGCGTCCTGAGCTGGCCTCTCCCCCACTCGGGCACCTACTCTGCTCCGATCCCTGGACGGAGCCGGAATCTGCAAGCAAGCAAGCAAGAGAGCTGGTTGTGCGCGACCCCCTTTTCTCCAGGGTTTCACCACAAAACGATGTAGCAGGCAAGCCTCAGGCGCCCCTGGGTTCAAACAAGTGGCTCTCTCTTTTTTGTCCAGTCAAAGGGTGGTGGACCTTCTCAAGCTTGTCTCCTCGTTAACTACAAGCCACAGAAATGTGGGCATAACCAAGAGGCACATGTATACAAGTTTAAGAAACCCCTGAAGCATCTGGGAGAAGTCACCTGGAGGTTCAGCCTTAGGGCCAGTGGAGGGGGGGATGTATTAACTTCCCAAGGGGAGGGTTGAACTCCAGTTCCCATCATCCTTAGCCAGCCCAGCCAGTAGAGAAGCAAAGGAGTTAGGGAGTGGTAGTACATCGGCATCTGAAGGGACCGTCTTTGGTCCCCCCCCTCCCAGACTCCCCCAGGAAGCATCGGGGGGGGCTGTAAGAGGTATTATTTTTGAAGGCCCTCTTTTCCAAGGTCTCAATTGAAGCTTTCCTGTTCCCTCGGCTAAGGGGGAGCCGGGAAATTTTGGGGAGCTCATTTGGACCCCCAGAAACTGTGAGAATCTCTGCCTGCTAGTAAGGCTGGGGGGGGCAGATGGTAGGAGCTTAAATCCAACCCCCCCCCCATGAAACATCTCCCCTTTCCGAGCTCAGGCATCGTCTGCAGGGGCAGGCCCTGACCTTCCCTTGGGGAAACTAGAACAGAACACTGCGCAGGCATCTAGAATCAGGGCAGTTTGGCTGGGGGGGTTTGGGGGAGTCACACCGGATGCAGGCCAAGTTAGAACCTGGGAAGGATGGAGGGCCTCAGAGCAGGGGAGGGGGGGACTCTGATCTGGGATCTGGATGGAGATGTGAGACCAGGGTTAGACGAGGTGGGGGCCTTTGCCCTGTGCAAGGTGGGTGGCCAGGTATTCTGCTTCAGGAAGGACAATCCTCCGTTTGAAGATATATGAGCGTCCCTTTCATATGGCACCCTCAAGGGGAGCAGCGATTTGAGTAAGAACAGCCTGGTCAATACATGAATTATCGGGGGGGGGAGAGCACCATGGTCGGGGAAACACTCTCCCTCCCTGGAGGCTTTGGAGCCGAGGCTGGAAAGCTGTCCCTTGGGGTCAGACTACATAGCCTCTAAGGACTCCCCTCCAACTCTACCAGGAGACCACCCCGACCACCCTAATCTTGTCGGAGTTTGGAAACTAAGCAGGATCAGATGTGGGGGGCATCAGGGAACCCCAGGGATCTTGAGGGACCTTTGGGAAACACCCGCCATCTCCAGAGAGGACCGGGAGCAAATTCCGCCTGGGACGCCGGAAAGCTTTTCCTGCCACTCAGAGCTGGCCGAAGACGGGGCCAGGATCAGACTCAGGAGAAGGGGCCCTCCCTTGCTCCCCACACCTCCCTCCTGCAGCACAACCCCCCCCCCACCCTACCTGCCCCTCTCTCTTTCAGCATCGCACCCCCCACGAGGACCACTTACTCCAGGGCACAGGACACGAGTCCCAAAAAGAGGCAGGAGCTGGCCATTGAGCCCAGAAGCCGGAAGGTCGACTGAAGCCCTTTGCGATCTGTGGGGAAGGAGAAGGATGGGTGGGGAGACGTCCAGGTGAGCCCCTGGACCAGCAGCCCCAGAAGGGAGGGAAGGCAGAGCGCTGGGAGGGTGCACAAGCTCTGGGAGAGGAGGGATGGGGTGGGGTGGGGTGAGGGTGCCGTGGAGGAGAGAAGCTGCCTGGATGAGCCGGATCCGGGGACTGGAATAGCTCAGGCTTCAAGGGGGAGAAGGAAGGGGGGGACAGGTCTCCAGAGGAAGGGCGGGAGGGAAAGGGGAACAGCGGGGAAGGAGGGCAGCCGGAGAGCCAGCAAGACCTTGAGTAAGGAGCCGAGGGAGGGAAAGGGGAACAGCTGAGTCCCGGGCAAGGCCAGGGGAGGGAGGGAAAGGGGAACAGCCAGACCCTGGAGGAGGCACCGAGAAGGAACCAGGCCAAGTGCAAGCCCAGGAGGATGGGAAGGGAACTGGAATTGCCAGCCAGGGATCCACGGAGGAGGGAGAGAGGGCGGGGAGGAGGGAGAAAACTGGGAACGGCCTGGGTTTCTGGACCAAGGGGCAAGGAGGGTAACGTGAGGGCCGGTGCGCCAGGGTGCCAGGGCTCCTCTTCACCTGGGTAGCAGGTGCGCAGGTCCCAACAGGCCACGTCCACCTTCCGGCAGGTGGAGCAGTTGAAGGCGGTGATGAATCCCTCTGGAAAGGAAGAGACAGGGCTCGGAGTGAGGCTCTGGAGGGCCTTCTGAAGGGCGGGGGGGAATGATTTCCTCTCGTATTTTGGACTACAACTCCCAGAATCCCCATGGGGGGATTCTGGAAACAACATGTCTCATGTCTAGCTATCTCTATCCCGTCTCCTCCCATGGCAGACCCAGAGATGTTTGTGAAGAACCCGAGTTCAGAAGCGTTGGCTCTTTCCAAACGTTCCTTTTTTTGGACTACAATTCCCAGAAACAGGGTTGAAATAGAGGGAGCGGTAGTTCAAGAAGTTTTTGTCCCGCACCTCACTCCATCCTGCCATTCTTCAGCTGGAAGAACCATCTCGCATGACTCTGACACTCACCTGTTGCGCTTTCTCTCCTTCACAAAATACGTTCCGTCCGTCTAGCAAGTTATATGAAACCGCATTGCCCCATTTTGGCTAGAGGCGGTGGTGAGATTTTGTACAAGGCCCTCCCCCCGGGACATTTTCCCCTTTTCTGACTGTGGAAAATACCCCTCGTGGAGCAGGACAGACAACCCCACAAAGGACACGCGCCCGCCTAAGGATTTCTTCTTTCTTAAGACTGCAAGGAAATATTCTTAATTTGGGGGACTGTTTCATCAACAGATACATCTCCAGCTTTTCCTGGGCAGGGGGACTGCCATCTTTCCTGGGTCCAAAGAGCTTTTTAATTTCATCTCACAATATGTTTCTACCCCTGATCCAAATCCATTTGGAAATGGGCAAAGCGGATGATGGGCTGGCAAACCAAAACCGACTGTCCTGTTGGTTGGCTCGCTTTTGCATTTCTGTACATGACATTCGGAGAGCCGAGAGGGGAGGAAGGGAAGAAAGTTTCCCTGTTTCAGACAAGGAACGCCAGGGAGGGGATTGGAAAAATGTGCTTTTAAAAAAAGCTAACTGGCTGAAAAACGATTTCTTCTTCCAAAGCTCTTTGCGCTCTGGATCCAGAGCAATGTTTGCCTTCGTTCCCCTTTGCTTCCATCTGGATCTTACACAAACCAGCCCCAAGCAGGTCGATTCAGTCTGGAATTGACCATCCCCCCACCACCCTTTGGAAGGTGTAAGTGATCCCAACCAGAGCATTATTGTCTGGCCCAGAATTTGGCTCTTCTTGTGAGAGCAAAGCCACGAACCCAACCACTGTGCTCCTTCCACACACCTGAAACCACGGAAATGGACAGGTATGTCGGAATGGGAGCAGGGGGGTGCATTTGGACTTGGTTCGAAATGGACTCTGGTAGATGCCAGAATCTGGAAAAATGGCATTTTTTTTTCCTGCAGAGAATCATGGAGGGGGAAATAAAAAGGAAGTCCACCTTTAGAAGATGGGGTGGATCAAATTCTCATTTTGGGGTCCCCGGCCCTTTCCCCAGGACTTACGGCAAGCCGGCGGGCACAGCACTGGAAGGGAAAAAGCAAGCAGGTTATCCTAAGAAGCCCAGAGAGGCACTTCATCCCACCCACCACACCACACCCTTCAACTGGGCTCTGCCATGCCCAGCCGCCTGATGAAGACTCCTGCAAGACTCAAAGGCTGGCCTGCTTCTGACCTTTTAGTGCTTTAGTAAAGGTGTCGCCCACCTTTGTTTTTAGACATAATCAAAAAAAATTTATTTAAAGTTTCTGTTAGAAACTGAGAGTTTTCCCTGTACTGATCATTGCAAGTGCAGGATTCGAATACAGGACAGAAAGGTTTAGGAAACAAAGTAGGCCCCTTAATTCGGGGGGGGGAGCACTCTTCTGCTATACCTCCCCCTCCCCATCATCAGTCAGATGGCTCCCTCTATTTTCTATTAGGTAACACTCCCAGGGGTCTATGTTTTCCCACACCTTGATGCATGAGACTATAGATGTGTGAAGGAAACACACTTTGCACCTGCTCAGAGGAGTTCTTTTTTAAAATGCTGCGCAAGTTTTAATTCTGAGCTATGGCCCCCGCAAATAAGTTTTGGCACTGGCTGAGACAAAACCTCTAATACACTTGTGAGGTTTATTTATTTATTATCATACCTTCTCTGCTCCGCTCTGGCATCTTAACCTCGTGTAACCAGTCCCAGTACTTTGGAAAGTCGGCAAGGCTTTGGTTGATTTCTGAAACACAGGGAAAGTCCCGCTTTCGATGTCAGGCGGTCATACTTTGAGCCCATCAGGAGAAGGCAAGATTTGGAAAAGTTGGAAGACAGCGGGAAAGGAGGAAGACCAAACCTGTGATGGACGGGCTCCCTCAAGGAAGCCACGACTTTTGAGGTTGCAAGCGCTGTGTGGAGGACGGGACCTTTTGGAGAGCGCGCGTTCATAGGCTCGCTGTACGTTGGTAGCAAATTGATGGCACATAACAACACTCTCTCTCTCTCACACACACACACACACCATCATCATCATCATCACCCCCACCACCACCACCACCACCATCATCATCATCATCATCATCATCATCTCCGCCATCTAACCCATTCTATAGAGATGGAGGGCGGCTTACCGATTACTCGAAAGACACGGTGAGTTTTTTCCATTAGGAGATCCAGAGAAAGCTGATCTGTTGATAAAAGAGATTTAAGGGAAGATTTCACAAACCTTTTTGTGCCACTTCGATTATTAGTTTCCTTGGTCCTGTTTGATGTTATGAAGATCTCTGGCCAACAACGTCTCTTCCTGTTTGCTGGTGTGATCTTTACCGGCCCTACCATTAGCCAGAGTGAGGTGGCTTGCCCAGACAGGATGGATGGATGGATGGATGGATGGATCTATCTATCTATCTATCTATCTATCTATCTATCTATCTATCTATCTATCTATCTATCTATCTATCTATCTATCTAATCTAATCTAATCTTATCTATCTATCTATCTATCTATCTATCTATCTAATCTATCTATCTATCTATCTAGCTGTCTGTCTGTCTGTCTGTTTTATAATCTTATCTATTTATCTGTCTGTCTGTTTACAGTATCTATCAGTAGCTGGATCTGTCTGTCTGTCTGTCTGTTTACAGTATCTATCTATCAGCAGCTGTAGAGCAGAAAAATACCCCAGCAAGCCTAGGCAGTGGCTGGGGGATGATGGGCAATGTAGTCTGACAGCAGCTGGAGAACTCACCAGCCATCCCTGGTTTAGATCACGATGGATACAAAAGCATTCGTGAGCGTGCTGTCAAGTCACGTTGGACCGATGGCAACCGTTTTTGAGGCAGGTGGGATGTTCCTGGAGTGGCTGCCATTGCTACCCCACCCCGGAAAGTTCCCATGGCTGAACGAGGATTTGAACCCAGGTCTCAGTGTAGTACAGTGGACGGTGTCCTAACTGGCGGCTCCATCCACTACTAGCTAGACCACGTTGGCTGTCAACAAAACCGTTGACGTTCATCATCATGACCATTAGCAGCAGCAGGAGTTGAAATAACATTGTTATTAGCAATGATTTGTGAGTAGGATTCTTCAGGGGCTTCAGATCCCCAAACTGGGAGTCGCGTTCCCCATCATCATCATCATCATCATCATCATCATCATCATCAAAATATTCAAATATATGAAACCAACAGACAAAATCATAAAAAATATTGACTGGTATTATATACCTGAAACAAGTTTTAATAAAAAAACACCTCAAAGTATCAGTTAAAGATCTGATATTTCAGGTTTTGGTTAAAACTTTTATCTCTTACATCATCATCATCATCATCATTTGTTGGTGGTTTTGTCATTGCTGTTGCTCCTTTCTTATAAATAACCCTCCACTTCCTGCCATCATCATCATCATCATCATCATCTGTTGGTGGTATTGTCATTGCTGTTGCTCCTTTCTTACAAATAATCCTCCACTTCCTGCCCCCCCAGATGTCCCGGGACCTTTACCTAAGGCTAACTCATGGACGGATTCTCTCCCCCACGGGTACTTCGTGCAGTTTGCCCGACCGTAGCGTTTCCGGTACTGAGCGCAGAGGTGGGCGTAGCGTATCCTGAGGTTCTTGAAGTGGCCTCCACAGGGGATGCACCCGTCTGCCCCTGGGCCCCCGCTGGCCAAGAAGAGGATCAAGACGGCAGCAGGAGCAAGAGGGAGGGAAATGAGGACAGAGAGAAGACCCCAAGGGAGAGATGCCAGGGAGCCCATCGTCTGCCGTTGGATATGGAGGTCGGGTGAAGACGTGGGCGTTGAACGTTGAACGTTCTAGAACGCTCTTTATTTTTGACCTTGGAATCCACATTCTAAGTTCTTGCTTTGGCAACCCTTGGGATGGACCCTCCCTGTGGCCACCTGGCCTCTTTCTCTAAAGAAGGAAAATCCAACATCTTCTGGAATTGGTCGTCCCTGCCACGGTGAAAGAGGTCTTCCTGTAAGGACATTGATCCAACGGTGAAAGAGGTCTTCCTGTAAGGACATTCATCCTAAAGTTTATCAAGACTTCCCTTCTGCAAAGAGAATCCTTTGCTTTTAATCTTTCCCTCTGAAGCTACAGAAGACAAGCTCGTATGCCGCCCACATTACCCAAAGGTCTCTTATCAAGAACTTCCCTTCTGCAAAGTGAACCCTTTGCTTTGAATCTTTCCCCCTGAAGCTACAGAAGACAAGCTCACTCCGTCTTCCATGGGGCACCCCTTCAGATCTCGGAAGAAGGATATGGTGTGGTCGCTCAGTCTTCTCGTATCCAGCCTAAACAGGGTCAGCTCCTGAAATCTTAGGGTTTTGGTTTCCAGGCCTTTTATCATTCTGGTCCCCCTTCCTCTGAACATGTTCCAGCTCGTCACTATCCTTCTTCCACTCTGGTTGATGTCCAGAACTGGACACAAGAGTCTAGGGAGATCTGACCCACGCAGAATAGAGTGGTGTAATATGACTTCCCTTGAGCTGGACACTTGGCTTCTGTTGAAACAACTGGGAATCACATTTGCTTCGCTTGCTGCTGCATCACGCGGTGGGTTCCTGTTCATCTTGTGGGCTGCTAAAGACCCCTCGATCCGTTTGGCACGGACCACCCCTGAGCCTTCAACAATAATCTTGTTGCCTCTGATTATTCCTGCCTCGACACAGAACTTTTCCTTTGTTGAAACTTGTTGATTTCGGGCAGGTTCTCCCATCAGCTTAGGTGATCTTGAATCCTGATTCATGCTCTTGAAGTTCTTGTTCTCCCTTCCCAGTGTGGCGTCTTGAGTGAACGTGATGAGCAGCTTCTCCACAATCCTCATCCAAGATGTTCATAAAGATGTGTAACATTGGGGCCGTAGACCTCGCCTGCAGGATTCTCTCCAGAAGGGTGACTTTTTTGGGGGATATGACCCTTAAACCATCTACAAAACCAGTCCATGACAACAGTTTTCCAGCTTCTACCTGATGCATTGTTATGCTTCTTATCTTCTTTTGTTGCCTGTGTGTTGACCTGAATATTTTTTTTTACTGTTGAAGACACCCCTTGAAATAACGAAGAGAAAACTAGAAGGAATCCTATCTCAGATCCCTTAAATGATCCTGGTCTGTGCCCTGCATAATCCCTAGAGGTGGGCCATGTTGGCTGTGGATGATAGTGGTTGTAGTCAGACCTCAGAGGCCTGGGGGTTAGAAAATGATGCTGCTGACTGCCTCACAGCTGCAGCAAGCAAGAGACTGGAGTGAGCTATTTATAAAACCTCTTTTCAAAATGGATATGTAAGAGCTGAGATATATTATTTTTTTAAAAATCTTCTTTGTTGCAAATGTATGTCTCCAGCAAATTCCAGGTCAGTGAAGGTGCAAGCTGAGAAATGTTTACCTTTTTTTCCAGATGACTACTCCTAGAATCCCCCAGCCCATCATGTCCCCCCCCAAAAGCAAACGCTTCCCAACTCTGAGAAAGTCCACATCGTCAAAACTATGGTTTTTCCAGTAGCGATGTACGGAAGTGAGAGATGGACCTTAAAGAAAGCTGACCGCCGAAGAATTGATGCCTTTGAATTGTGTTGCTGGAGGAGGCTCTTGAGAGTCCCCTGGACTGCAAGGAGAACCAACCTATCCGTTCTGAAGGAAATCAAGCCTGAGTGCTCCCTGGAAGGACAGATCCTGAAGCTGAGGCTCCAGTACTTTGACCATCTCATGAGAAGAGAGGACTCCCCGGAAAAGACCCTGATGTTGGGGAAGTGTGAAGGCAAGAGGAGAAGGGGACGACGGAGGACGAGGTGGATGGACAGGGTCACCAAAGCGACCAACAGGAATCTGACCCAACTCCAGGAGGCAGGAGGGCCTGGTGTGTTCTGGTCCGTGGAAGACAGGAGGGCCTGGCGTGCTCTGGTCCATGGGGTCACAAAGAGTCGGACACAACTAAATGACTAAACAACAACAACATATATCTTCCAGGTGTTGAAACTCACCCACCTCAAGAACAGACATGAACAATTCGATGCAAGGCGGACTTAAGAAAAAGTATTTCTTAAGTCATTTCCAAACCTGTCTCACAGGCTTTGAGTTTTCCAGGACATGAACGACAGAGGACGAGATGGATGGACAGGGTCATCGAAGTGACCAACGTGAATCTGACCCAACTCCGTGAGGCTGTGGAAGACAGGAGGGCCTGGCGTGCTCTGGTCCATGGGGTCACAAAGAGTTGGACACGATTAAACGACTAAACAACAACAAGAAGAAATCAGCTCTGGGCATGGCAAATGTCGGTCATTTGACACAGAGAGCAGAGGTGCATCCCTGGGAAGGGAGAAATGTGGGCTCGGGAAGAGCCGAGCTGGCAATTCCAGGATGGGAGCCAAGAACCACCTCTTCAGACAGACGCTTTTCATGCCTTTTGATTTCCACCCTGAGTAAGCATCCGAAGAATGGGGAAGTGCTCCAGAGGTGGTCAGCCTGCAGCCTTCATGGAGGGGGGGTGCGGTGGAAAGGAAGAGTCAGCGAGAGTGCAAGCCCATGATTGTGATAAAACAGGTCAGGCGTTTCTGGGCTGCTGCACCAGGGAGAGAGAGAGAGAGAGAGAGAGAAAAGAAAATAGAAAAAGAAAAAGAAAGTGAGGCACTTAAGGTTTCAGAGGGTTGCCTGTGTGCTTAGTCACGCCAAAAACAGAAGACGGTGCATCGTCGGGGGCTGAGGCCAAACCTTCGCCGTAAGACCCGTGAATAACCCCGAAGGGTGTGTCTCCAAACAGGCAGAGCTGTTATTATCAGGGTCATTATTCATACCCTGAACGTTATAGATCCAGCCTTCACATGCAGAGCTATGTTTCACAAACCAGTCAGCGGCCACGCTCGCTGGACTCATCCTGGCATCCCTGTTTGCATAAAGCTTTTTCAGACTCTGTGGCTAAGGCCAGGAGAAGGGACGAGAGACGGAAGCTGCACCCTCTCCCTCTTGTTGCCGCTCAGCTCGGCGACTTGATGAGTTTATGACCTGCGGGAGGGCATTTCCTAGCCGTTGGGTAGCCAAGATTGGCTCCTCTCCTCCTCCTCCTCCCCACCTCTCCTTCCCCTTGTGTTGTGTCTGTTCAGGCCATAAGCCTGCTGAGCAGGGAGAACCGGTCGGGTTTCATTTTTCTGATGATTGTAAGATGCTCAGGTCATTTGGGGCGGGTGGGGTGTTTAAAGGGCAGGATAAAAATGTGTTGGAATAAAAATAAATATGTCAAAACATGTGGTGCAAAAAATACATTACTGTTAACCATCCTGAAATAAATAAGGACATAAAACAACGGATTGTCTTGTCTACTCATCAAAACTTTAGGGAAAGTGGAGAAGCGGGAGGCTTGATTTCCTGTGGCCACCAACTCACATTTCGGTGTAGGAGAGGTGTGTGTAGGAGGAGTTCTGTGTGCACACCGAGGGCTGAGCAGGCTTTCCAGCCCGACACAAAGCTGTCAATGATTCTAAAGTCACAGAAGGCGCCTTTGCACCTTGACCTGAGAGATGGAGAGGAAGGCAGAGTGGGTGGATTTCTCCCTCAGGTGTCTGTGGGATGATCCCCAGGCAGGCCCTGGGGGGTAAGAGCAAAGGGAGGACCACCTACCCTGTTTGACCCCGGGACCTTCTCTAGAATCAGAATATGACACAAAGAAAATATCTCAAATGTCATCGATTTCAACCTCCTGCAGATGTGGGAAAGCCCAGCCATTGCCAGAGGCAGACTCGCTACCTGTCTCCCCTTCCAACCGGGAATCTGGCTAAGCGAACTATTCATTAAACATTTATCCTGCTCCTGAAAGCCAGCTAGACAACGGCCGCGCCTACGGACCAGCTTTTATCTTCTCTTTTTTCTGCCCTGCCTTTATTTCTGCCACCCACATGGTGCACACCAACAGAAACCAACAGAAACCATAGCGACAGTCCTTTTAAATGTGTGTTTTTATTGTGATAAATAAAAGAGCCGGGCGTTGCACAGAGGCAGCAGCCACAAGAGACAAGTTGAATCTACTGTATAATTGAAGAACAGCTCAAATTTATATATAAAAAAGCAAAAAAACAGAAATGTCCAGCAAACCTATAAGCCATCTAATAGGAGAGGGAACCCTGAGCTTTACGAAAGCGAAAGCAGGCAACGAGAGCAAGAGTTTAAAAAACAAGCCACAGGGGATAAAATGAGAACTCCGAAGGCCGGTCCACGACCATCTTGTGCCGAAAAAACGCAGACAATATCATATAGTAGGAGAGGCAATATCAGTAATATGGTGGTCAGAATCCTGTTGGGATTTTATTCCCATTGCCCTAGGAGGAAACAAGAAATTTTGGCTAGCTAGAGCATTCTGGGAGTTGCAGTTTCAAAAAAGGAAATTTTTTCAAGCTTTCTGTGCATGTCAAGTCAATTTCCTTACAGAGGCAGCTACATCATAAGGTTTCTTTTTTCCAGTGTGTATCATCGGCTTTTGCTACCTGGAGATGATCAGAACTTTGTTCTCATGGAAAAAGCAATGGGCCAGGGAAAAAAGAGCTGTGAGAATTATTTTAAGGGTGGTGGTGTTTTTTCCCCCCTGTTCTGGACCCTATTACCATGTGTCGCTTTTTCTGCAGACATTATAGTTTTATGACTTTTTTTTTGAGCTCCTTAGATTACACCATCCAGGTGACTCACTTAGCTTCCAGCTGCTGCGGTCTTCATCAATGCTTTTTTTCTGGTGAGAAATTTAGAAAGTCCATTTCTCCCTTGGTTCTTAGACAGTATGCCTCTCATCGGTTGGTTTCTGTGGCCCTTGCAAAGGGCGTTCTCATTCGCCTTCCAGAAACTCCCTCGTCCACCAAACAGACCCAGAGCCCCAGTGAATACGACAGGTCTCTCCTCTGAGCATTCATTAATGGAAGTACCGGAGAAGGCTCATTGTTCTCGAAGAAACAGCAACATCTCCATATAGGACAGGTCTACGCATGGGCTATTCTTCTTAGAGCCAGAAGTGTTATAACAGGCTTGTATTGAAAAATTCAAAAGGAAGGAAGGCATTTGGCTGCTCATTTAAGGGCAACTAGGTGGGAGAAGGAGCAGCCCATCGTCATGGCAGAAGGTGGTGAGCGGCAAATGAGGAGATAAAGGAGGGAAGAATCAAACCTCGAGGAGGAGAAGAAGAGGGAGCGTCAAGAGGAGGAGGGGATCCCAATAAGATAAGGACCGCAGGAGATGGAAGATCCCCAGTCTCTCCAGCGGTTGAAGACGAAGCCCCCTTAGAGAAAACTAAGAGGCAGAGGAATACATCTTTTCCCGGGGAGAACATGTCAGGGAAGAGATAAAGGGGGGGATAGTGGTTCAGTTGAAGACACCTGAGACTATAAAATGGAGCGTGAAAAGTAAAGGTTCCCCTTTGACATTGAGTCCAGTCATGTCCAACTCTAAGGAGCGGTGCTCATCCTCGTCTCCAGGCCGTAGAGCCAGCGTTTGCCCGAAGACCATTTCCGTGGTCATGTGGCCAGTGCGACTAGACACGGAACGCCGTGACCTTCCCACCAAAGTGGTTCCTATTTATCTACTCGCATCTTTACATGCTTTCAAACGGCTAGGTTGGCAGGAACTGGGACAAGCGACGGGAGCTCCCTCCATGGCCTGGATTTGATCTTCCAACGGCTGGGCTTCTGACCTTGCAGCACAGAGGCTTCTGCAGTCTAACCCACAGTGCCACCCCGTCCCTGTCAGTTGAAGGCACCCGCGCCTATAAAATGGAGCATGTCCATTTATCCAAAGAAGAGGTCATTGGGAGAATGACTAGGGAACCGCTGGTGGTCAAACCCGAACCCAATCACACTATGCAACATCTACAACAAGCAGGACACTGGGTAGCAGGGAGAGGATGCGAAAGAGCTTTACAGCCTGAAACCAGCCTGGTTTTGAACTGGGGCTGGAAGCTTGTGCTCCCGAGAGAGGAACGTACTGCCCTGACACCGCCTGACATTCCTCACGAGGAGCAGCCTTTCCATTTGGTGGCAAACTCCACACGCTGGCACCCCCTAAACTTCTCCGCTGTTGCCCTCCAGAGGCCTGGTTCTCCCAAAGCAGCTCCGACTTCACCCCATCTTGCAATAGAAGGGAAGGGAAAATTGCAGACGGACCCTCCCTCTTCCCATCCCAGGTAGGGCGAAGCCCCTTTTGCTGGCTCCCTTGAACCCACGCCTTCCCATTTCCTGTCTGGCGCAACAGAAAACAAATTTGCTCTCTCCTCTCTGTGACCGACTGTCAAATATTTAAAGATGTCAACCAGGATACCCTCTCGGCCTCCTCGCCTCCAGGCTCAACGCACTCCGCTTTCTGCAGGCAGAGGCCTCCCCACTGGCCCCCTGAGCAAACGGAGTCCCTGCGGTGATTTTCTTGATGAGAAGAGGTGGGTCGATCACTAGTTTACACAAGAAACAGACAGCGGGCAAAAAGCGGGTTCTCATAAAGAGAGGGAAGTAAAGAGGCAGGATCCACCAAAAATCTGTATGGAGCGCCATCTGTGTGGTTATTTTTCTTTTCCAAAAACACTTTTGCATTTCTGACAAAGGCACCAGAGATGCTTGGTGGGCAACCTGAATTATGCCAAGCGACTCAATGAGAATTAATTTCTCGGATGAATGGGGAAGCTTCCTGGAGGTGGAATCTGAGTGCTGGTGGTGGCAACGTTGCGTTCTTCCCTTGTTGCTGAACTGCAATTCCTGGCCCTCCCTACCATCGTCGACACTGGCTGGGGCTGATGGGAGACGTGGTCCAAAAAAACACTGGCTGAGCTATGCTTTCTCCTCCCTAGGTTTACATGAGAGCCCCTGGAAGCTGCAACGCTACAGACCTTTTACCTGCAAACCACGTGCACTAAGCAGAGTGGCGTTTACTTCCAAAACAAGGAGCAGGAAACTGGTATTTATTAAAACCACGCTGTGCTGAGTCAGAGACAAGATAAAGAACAGCTGGAAAACCCCTGGTTCAGGCCTCCCCTATTTAGCTTCACCTCCAGCTGTGCTGGTTTGCTATTTGGGGGGGGGGGGAAGGAGACACAGAAAGTGCTGAGGCACCAAAGGGCTTAACAGACTCATTTCAGGCGCTCTTAGCCAGCAGAACCTTGCGCCATCCTCAGTTTAATCGTCTTCTGAACACTGCCCCTTTCTATAAAGGGAAACGCTGGACGTAGAAGTGACCTGGGGATAAACAGACCTTTGAAGGCCTTATTGTGCGGAGAGAGGCGGAAGGTGTTCACGTCCCTTTTAATAAGATTTTTGCTGGCTAGGGAATTCCGGGAAGGATCAAACCACCACCACCACCCCCGAAAAATTAAAACTCCAAACTCCGCCATGCTCTCTTTTAATATCTGCAGGGCAGAAACCCAGTAGGAAATGAACCCGGAAGCAAGGCAGACCAAAGAAGGGGGGAGGAGGAGGTAAAGCCGAAACAGGTCTAAGGAAATGCACATTTTAAACAGCCTGGGGAAGGTTGCAAAATTAAACTGGTTTGAAACCTGTTTAATTGGCGTGGCATCCCCCCCTTCAAGAAAGTCTAGAAAGGGCAGTCCGGGGAACAATCTAAAAAATACTGTTTAAAAATCCCTGAGAAACACAAGCAACCGGAATCTCCCAAGCGGAAAATGATGGCGAAGCCGGTTTTGAAGATGCAGCTCAACAGCCTCTGCACCAGAGGGAAGGCAGCGCGCCGGTGGAGGCGCTAGGCGAAGGCTCAGGAGCCATGGGTTCAAATCATCCCTTTGCTTCATTCAATGACCCTGGGTGACTCTTAACTCTCTGAGGCTGATCTACCTCGCCAGGTTGTTGGGAGGCGGAACGAGAGAGGAAGAGAGCCGTGTAAACAATCTTGAAGGGGAGGTATAAATATCACAAATAAATAAAGTGTACTTTGACACTGATAAAAGTCTGCGGAATAAATAGAGCGTCTTTTAGAGGGGACCCGTGGAGGTCGGACGGACGGGCTTCCGAAGGGTTACCGGTGCAGGCTTGTACGGAAAAGTCCCCTGGGAAACGGCAGGCAATGACTTTTCACCCCCAGCCCTCCAAATCCTGCCTGGGTGCTCCTGGTCATTTCAGCAGCTCTCAGAAAATGGTGAGTCGGTCGGGGAGGCAGAAGGAAGACCCCGTCCCTCGAGGCAGGGGCCGGATCGGTCGGGAGGCTGAAGGCGCACGGGTCGAACCTGGATTTCGGCAGAAGAGAAAGAAAGGAACAACATAAGGAGGACGAACGCTCGTTGTCTCCGAACCCTGGAACAAAGGGAAAGCTGTCTAGCAGGCGACAATGGCTTGTCTGTCAGTGCAGGAGGACAGCCGCCGGCCATCTGGCCTCCTCTCTTAGCAAGGACCGTACCACTCGCCGCCGCCGCCCCCTTCCCCACCCAAAAGCAAACATCATAAACAGACCAGGAGGAACGGCTTGTGTGCCCTTGACTGTGTCCATTCAAAATACCAACATACATTGTCATCGTCATCATCCCACCATCCCCCTACAAAGTCTCCGTTCCTTTTCTTGGAATCCTCCAGAGCAACTTTTCCAAGTCTTGCAAATATATATGTAAAAAGATAGTGTATATTTTTGGATAGGATATATATTTTTATCTGGCCATTTCCTGGTGAAAACTGAACCCTACTTGGTTGGGAACGACCCACCAAAAAGGCACCAGGACTTTCGGCTCCTCCATTCCGTAGGTAATGAAGTAAAGAGAGCCATAGGTAAAGTCCTGGGAAATATCCTTTTGGGTGGGGGGTACTACAAAGCCCCAAATCCCCATGCTCAGCTGACTACGGGGATTCTGGAAGAACCAATCTGTTAAAAAAAAGGGATTTCTAAGCTCTGCTATCTCTATCCAGGCCTCAGATCTTTCTCCTGACCGCCACAGCGGTGGAAAAAGTTACTTTTGCAGACTCTGGCTCCAGAATCTGCAGTCAGCAAAGTTGCAAAGGGGGGTGTCTAAGGATCTCCACTTCCAGACAGTTAATTTCCCTCTTGCTTTGTCACCTCCAAGGCTTTTAAGAGAGCAAGAACTGCTGGATCGTTCAGGGGTTGAGGTCTCCGGCTGCGGAGCCAGAGGGCTGGGAGTTCTAATCCCACCACCACCACTGGGCTTCCTAGACAGGATTTAGACTTGATGATCCAGATGGGTCCCTTCCAGCGCTGCAGTTCTAAGAATTGAAGTAAGTAAACTCTTTTGGAAATACGGTGTTGTCACAGCTGTACACCGCCAGAGTGACCATTGGTCAGATGGGCGGTATAGAAATTGAATGAATGAATGAATGAATGAATGAATATTTCCCCAATAGCTGTGAAAACTGGACAGTGGTGCCACTCATCAACTCTGAAATATTTTCCCAGTTTCAGAAGACGGGTGTCATCAGAGGTATTATTTTTAATTATGGGAATTGCAAATTAATGTTAGCAACCCTGAGTACTTCACCAACACACAGTTGAGAACGTGAACCACCTTCTTCGAGGGCTTTCCCCTGCCAAGACTGCCAAGAGGCAGCTGAACTTACAAAAGTAACTCTCTTTTTTTGGACCCCGTCCTCTCTTTCTTACCATCTCCCTTTTCCTCCACAATGGCGTTGGCTCTTACAGGATGCGACTCCACAGCTGGGATTCGGTGGAAGCGTTCAATGGCGGACAAACCGCAGCGACCGGGCGTTGAGGATATCCGCCGGGTCGGGGAAAACGGAATCCACGCGGAAGCCCTGAGCCAACGCCGCCTTCAACACCTCTTCCAGGAACTCGTTGGCTGTTCTGATCTCCTTTCCGCCCGCAACCAGCGGGCGCAGGTTCTGCTTGACGTATTCTGTCGCAGGAAGCTCTGGCGGATGAGGAGCCCACTCCAGACAAAGATGATGGCAGGTGGTGCTTCCCAAGGAGGATCTTTCCGAGGAACCATCCAAGGTCTCATCATCCGTTTCCGAATCTTCGTCTGTGGAATAATCACCTGGGGAAATCCTCAGCTCGCCGTTGGCGAACGCAGGACCATCCAACTGCCTCTTCCATTCGTGAAGCTCTCTATCATCGGTGGGGCTTGAATTCCGACCGGAGCCGTTCCGAGGTCCTCTCGCTGCCGTCCCATCCGAGCCGCCGGGCTGGCTGTGGTAGCTCAAGAGCTTTGTCCCTCTCAGAGGTTGGCCCAAACTTTTCCCAGAATGCCCTTCGGCCAGGCCACCGCCGCAGCCCTCCACGCAGCCCAAGCGTTTGCGAAGCAAGGCCAGGAAGTAGCCGTCGGTGCAGAAGACGTTGGCCGTGAAAATCTGGAGGGAGCAGGTACTCAGCTCGTAATTCTGTGGGCCCCGGCGGACGTTGAAGTGCAACAGGCGCTTGCGCAGATCCACGTCGGCGTGAAGGACGGCGTTCCTGCGCTGGCGCCACCGCTCTGCCTCCAGACGCCGCAGGGCCTCTAGAAGAGGGCGGATCTGGTAGAAGTCCGCTTCGGCCCGCAGGAGGGAGAGCTCGGCGTAGCCCTCGGGGAGGTCCAGCCGGCCGAAACGGAGGAAGTTCAGGATGTGGCGGAAGGTTTTGCCGTCCCGGTCGATGAAATAGTTGCCGCAGCTGTCGGTGAGGGCCGGCTGAGGCCCGCGGAACATGGCGCCCAACATGGAGTCCGGGAAGCGGGTGAGGGTCTCCAGAGTGGTACTGTAGAGTTTGCCCCCAACGTTCAAGGTCACCAGGCCGCCGGCTCGTCCCAAGGCTTCACAGGTGTCCGGCATCCTTGGGAGGACAGGGACACCAGTTCCGTTTTGAGGCGGAGAAAACAGGGATGGACAAAATACCTTTGCAGGTTAAAAAACAACAACAACACCAAAGAGCACTTCAGAACAACACGACACGTGAATACTGCAGGAAGTCTTCTCTTCAACCCCTGGAGGAAGGCTGGAATACCTCCTCCAAGACGTTGCTCGCTGTCATTTTAATTCTCAGTAGAGGTGGGAAGGCCTGGAAAAAAGAAACACGGAAAAATTAGGGAAGAAAACAGGGTTTTTTTTTGTTTTTTTTTACAAAGCCATTTTCCCCACTGGAAAAACTGAAAAAAAAATATGGAGTGTAGATTATGTTCTTTTACAATGATAAATATTGTGTCTGCAACATAGTATTCAAAGTGTGAAGACTTTAATGAAAGACGTCTGAGACTTTGCGTCTTTAAGTTCTCTCTAGGGATGTGAAATGTCCATATTCCACCCCTCCCCCGGGGAAAAACCGGGACAAAAATGGTTTTGCATCTCTACAGGTGAAAACAAAATAAAAATGAAAATTAGAAAAAGACAAAATGGTGGGGGGGGGCACCTTAAAGACTAACTTTTTTTATGTGAGCTTTCGTGCACAAGTCCACTTCATCAGACATAAGAGAAGGAGATAAAACATGTCAAATATTTATACATCGCATCAAAGTATAGATATAAAAATACAGAGATTCTGGTTGGTTGTCAAGAAAGTCAGTGGGTGTTAAAATACGCTGTCATCCTATCAAAGACGCCATCATCACAATGTTTAACATCATGCCAGCATAGACTAACATGGCTACTCCTTCTACAACGATGAAGTATCATTCTAATAAAGATGCTTCGACGAAATAAAGGACATATGTCTCGTTTTCTTAAAGATTGCCAAATCATATGAAGAGAGGCACCTTTCTATTCAATGATAAGTCTGAAAACAAATTGAATTAAACCAATAATTGTAAAGCTCTCTGTCTGGAAAATGGGGTGGGGGGAAGGAGAGACATAGGAGGGGAGAGATTTAGGTTTGAATGATCACATGCGAATGGTACACTAGTCTTCTGTTAGAAAGAAAATGAGTCTAGAAAAAAAGAGAATTTCAACAGCAAGCATGGGATGTAGTGAAGTTTTGGCCTGGGTCTTGGAAAATCCAGGTCGGAGACCCTCCGGAGCCATCCCGTCTCCTCCTGCTTAGGGCGACCCCATGAATGAACAATCCCCAAAATGTCACGTCCTCAACAGCCCTGCTCAGCTCTTGCAAACTCAAAAGTCATGGCTTCCTTTAGGAACTGGTTCCATCTCGTATTGGGTCTTTCCTCTTATCCTGCTGCTTTCCACCTTTCTCATCATTACTGTCTTTTCCAGAGAATCCTGCCTTTTTATGAGGTGCCCAAAGCAGGGCAGATTCAGTTTTTCCTCTGAACTAACAGCTTATAATTAAATAAATTACCCTACGTGGCATCTACAGAAGTGGGCTCTGGCCCAGAATCGTTTATGCTGATTAAATTTGTCAGCTTTTAAGGCTGCTGAAGACGCCCGGCTGCCATGCAGTTGCATACAGTATTCGGTTACATCACACTGAACGGCAGGAAGAGCATAATAAGAGAGAGAAACTAGCAAATAAGTAATCAGTAACATTCGAGGGGGAATTCTGGGTGAACTTTCTTAAGCAAATGTATTAGCATAAAGTGGAGGAAAAAACGAAGCATGGCTCCCGCCCTCTATTATGCGTTAGAGTTCGGAAAAACTTCTTGTTTTTGGACTTCAGATCTTTGAAATTATTTGGGAGCCAGCAATTGAGAAGCAATCTGAATTAAAAGACAGAGAGAGAGAGAGAGAGAGAGAGAGAGAGAGAAAAGGAGAGACTTATCTTTTCAGTGGTGGCCCACACAGATTTTCAGTGGATGTTTCTGCCTTTCTGCTCTGCCTGGGTCTCTGAGAAGCATCTCTTTGCTCCTTTCTAGGATCTGCACACTTCTTTTAACTTTGATAGTGTCTTCCCCCCCCCACCTGGCTGTGGTACCTACATTTAATTCTTACACGTTTTTCTGGAAAATATGCTTCAGGATGTCATTTAATGTGATTTGGTTCTCCTGTACTTAGCCATTGAGTACCGTTTCCCTGAAAATAAGACGCAACCTGAAAATAAGCCCTAGTTAGTAGGATTTTTCAGGAAGCTTGGAATATAAGCCCTACCCCCAAAATAAGCCCCAGTTAAGTGAAAACCTACCTTCCACCCTTGTGCAACAACCAGAAAATGACATTACTGTAAAATCTATGTAAGCCGCCCCGAGTAGACATGGTCTAGAAGACGGGCGGGGTAAAAATCAATCAATCAATCAATCAATCAGTCAATCAATCAATCAATCAAATAAATAAATAAATAAATAAATAAATAATCCCCTGAAAATAAGCCCTAATGCATTCTTGGAGCAAAAAAATGAATATAAGACCCCGTCTTATTGCTATTACTGATCTGTTTTGACATTTCTTTCTTTCTTTCTTTTTCAATGTGAAGGGTAAAGGGAAATAACTTGGGACAACAGGGAATAGATCATGCTATACATTATCGCATATGATCTGCACTTCAACATATCGTTGCATTGCAGACTCTGGGGGGCTTGGATAGTGTCCTGTAAGGATGCCAGCCTCCCGGTTGGGAGCTTTAAATCCTGCCTTCCGACGATGCAAACCCACCTCCTCCTTTTCAGCTTCCCAAGACGGTCTTGCAACGAGGTGGGGAAGCCGCCTTGGGTCCTTTTCTCGGGAGGAGGCAGGCGGGGTAAAAAAGGGCTTAGGGTCAACCAGTTAAATATTAACTACCCCAAAGCG